GCGAAATTGCATATTCAAATACAAAACTTTTAGTTGCACCTCGCAAATGAATCCCATCTACTATCACTAAAAGAAAACAATTAATAAGGCGATTTAGCGATTGCAAAATCTCATAATAACAATGTTGAGTCCATGTACACTCTTTTGTTAAACCACTAATAAGTCCTATAATCTGTTTCTGCAGGATTGTGTTTTGTTCACACTTTTTGCCGAACTAACGAACGCATTGATGAACACGCACTTAGTCTAGAAATTGTGCAAGTGATGACAAATAGTTTTCATTCTTTGGTACCACAACAATGAAATAACACTTTGCAAAGGAGGCGGAGTACTGATTTCACTACATTCCGGCTCTGATCATGTCACGTTTTGAAGGAAAAGTCGTTATTGTTACAGGTAATGAATAAAGGGACTTCAATCATGCTTTCAAAACTTTTAAATAAGAAAGAAAGCTTTTCGTAAATACCTCTCCTCATAGCACAAAAATTGTGTTAATTTCTAAAAAATAATTTCCCTTCCTAGACGTTCAGTGTTCTGTTCCTCGTTTAAAAAAAGGATTCTTCTTCTCTCAGCTGAAATTGTAGCTTTCAAATTCCCTGTCCTTACATGAATTCTTCCGCAGTAATAAATTATAATATTTATTTTTTATAGGTTCATCTTCCGGTATAGGAGCTGAAACTGCCCGATTATTTGCGAAGGAAGGCGCTAAGGTGACGATAACCGGAAGGAATCAAGATGGCCTTGAGGTAAAGCTATGCAATTTCTTTTTTTTTGACTTTAAACAAAATGTTCAATCGATTTTTCAACAAACTCTACCCAATTTAGCACATGTAGAGTGCAGATGTAAACATTTTCAATTACCGCTCTTAGGACTTTCCTCCTATTTGATTTTGATAGCCTAAAAGTGAATGGATGAGAAAAGTGATATCGTGGCCTTCTAAAAGATGTACGCACCTGAAAGGCTTCATAATTTTATCAAATCTGTTTTTGAATATATGCTTGAAAATTCTGGAGAGAATACAGCTTTTGCTGACAGCACCGTAACCCGTCGTTGGCTGCGATAGCTTTGAACCTAAAATGGAACGATAGCAAAAGACT